AGTGGGAATGTGAGTATAGGAAGTGGTGGAGAGCCATGATCGTCTACGTCCTTGAAGGTAAACGGAAGAAGGATTGAAGTGACAAGTAACCTTTCTATTAGCGATCACTAAATATATATCTGTTTCATCCTGCAAATATAAAAGCGTGTTAAGATGGTGTAGCAGTTCTTTGACAATCAGTAGGGCCACAAGGGTATTTTTATTTTGTTAATTTAATGTAAATAATCTTTAATTATACATTGTCATACAATCTTCCTTGTTTGATATATACGGAAATTTTCTAATAGATATTATAAAAATTGCACTTTTATTCAAATTTAAGTTAGTGTAATATATACTAACAATCTAGAAGAGCAGTGGTTCCCAACTGATTATGGGTCATGCCACACTTTGGTATTTCTAAAATTCTGGTACCCCACCTCCATGTAATATTTAATTCTTACATACTCAAAATTTTACTGCAATTCATGTGAAGGAAGCTTAAAAGGCCATTAACTTAGTCTCTAAACAAACCTTCAAAGACCATGGCACACATGAAAGAGAAAAATTAAAAAAAAAAAAAAAGACAGTTAAATATATATAGTTTCAAAACATATAATAGAGAAATGAAAGGCAGAACTATAAAATATTTGAATGAAAGTTTATTCTGTAATATACTTTGATCATTTTAATCATGAAATAATAATGCAAATTTGAGGTCACGTTCGTATAGTAAGCATAAGGGGGCACATCCTACGCATGCCCCACCAAAATATTATCAAGCCCCAACGGTGGAGCATGCACCCCAAGTTGAGAATCATTGATCTAGAGAATGCTGCTTATGTTAGTTGTACTTTCAGAGAAATTCAAGATATACTTATAAATAAAATCTTTAAAATCGCTGAGGACACCAAAAGAAAAGGTTCTACAAAGGGAGAACGAAAGCGTTACCAAAAAAAAATAAAAAAATTTTAAATGACAGGTTGTCTAAAGTAAAGCGGCTTTATTTCATACGGGTTCAATAATTTTCGCAAATGTCCGAAATTGTCTTACGTTCATTCTTCAGTCTCTCAATCCAAACCCAGTCGCTTGCAGTTTTGAATAAATGTCTATTTTGATGTTTGTTATCAATAAGGATTATGTGAAATAACAAGTAAGATTCTGATTTTTTTTCATATCTATTCTTACAAGGTTGTATATATTTGAACTATATGAATATATTGTGTTACTAATTTTAAAACAGTAACTCGAAACCCTACTATCTAAGAAGGAACAAGAACGATACTATTATTAGACAGTGTTTACGATATCAATTAGCCTTAATCTAGTCCTATATCCTACTCAGTGAGTAATAATTAAATATTATTAAACCCATTGTCCCCCTTGACAGTGTTCAGTATATTCAGTCTTTTGTTTTTGTTTTATTTTTATATTTTTTACATTTTGTTTTGTTTTTAGTGTAATATTTGAAATGAATGCTACATACACTTTTGAAATTACTGAATTTTGAGTTTAAGACAAAAAGGCGTGTTCACATAATCTATGCATTTTCTAAATAGCAAATAGCGACTCAAACCAGAGATTTTGCTTGTTCAGTAACTATTGTTAGAATTTTCAGTCCATTAACACTTTTTCTTCCTGATTCCTCTCTTTTTTGCCCATATGGATACAATTCCACAATATTTCCACTCTGTTTGTGTTTACAAAACTATCTCTACTCTTTTGGGATTTTTCTTCTGTTTCTATTCATTCTACTCACTATTTCTCGCTTTGTGTTTTTTTTTATCTTCCCTATCGAAACTTACCTGTCCATTTCTGCTTTCTTTTTCCACCGTTGATTTTCTCTTCAATTTCTCTCTTACTATTCTTCAATTGCCTCTCTTCTAAAGGTATGTTTACCATTTATACTCTTATTTGATACCCCGTCTTTCTCAACATTCTTTCTTTCGTTCTTTTCGATCCGATTTTTCCTTCTTCCAATCGTGATTTTGGTAAGGATAAATAAATGCTTATTGTCCAGGAGGCAAAAGTCTTGGCATCGCAAAAAAGGTCTTGAGGGTCTTTAATGATAAGATAATTGTACACGCACGCGTATCTCCCCGCCTACCGACGGGAAAAGACTGGGAGTAGAAAGAAAGCTTACACAAGCCTGATTTTATTTATATATACGACCTCATTTTGGCGACTACACGAGAATATTAACACTCACACAAATCGGACAAATAAATTCCTACTTTCTCTCGTTAACACGCGTGCGTGCGCAAGAACACAAACACACACACACATACAGAGGAAAATATAGATGTAAATATGTCTCTGTGCACAAATACAAATAAATACATATACACTCAAAGTCGCGCAACCTCACAAACAAGCTTTGCGAATGCAATTTTTTTTTATCTTACATACATAAATAAGTAAGTTTATAATTTAACGTAGAAGAACACACACACACACACACATATATATATATATATATATATATATATACGAACATTTTCTATCTGTTCCTCTGCCTGTTGGCTTATCTATTGCACACACAAATACACGTAGAAGGGCATATACAGATAAACATATATATTTATATATATGTACGCAGAGTAAATGTCTTGTTAAAATAACGACAACTCTACACTTATTACATAAACATACAAGCTACATTCAAGAAATAGTAATGTTCTTCCGCAGTATGAAACATCTTCTTGAATATACTCCAAATAGCGGGTATAAAGGCCTATAAGCAGAAACATACATTCAATCAATCATATACAATTTTGCACAAGTTATATGCACAAAAATCTGTACAAGTTTAATTATACAGATATGTACCTAAACATTTTTTTATAAAATTATATATATATATATATATATATATATATATATATATATATATATATATATAGATAGATAGAAAGATAGATAGAGAGAGAGAGAGAGGAGAGAGAGAGAGAGAGAGGGAGAGAGGCACGGTGGAGTAATGGATAGCGGCTTGGATTGAGGAATCGCAGAGCCGAGTTCGAATTCCAGTCAAATCCATTACATTCACTTACGTGCTAATACCCTTGGAAAAGGTATGAATCATCTCCCTCCCGCTATGGGTAAAATAGCAGGGCAGACTGGGTTCTATAGCCTTGGATGGCAACTGGTCTAGGAGAAGGACAACTCTGAATTCAAAACCTGCGGAGGGTCGTTTGGGAACCTTGTGGCATTCGGTGCACCAGGGCTCTGTATTCGGCCCTTCAAAAAGTGTGGATTATCCTGCACGAGGCCTTCACTACTATAATCAAATCTCATGTGCCGGTGTCGGGCTGTCGGTTTCCTGGAAACTGATCTGCTTGACCCTCATACGTCGAATCTCGACGGGAGAGTCGATTATTATATATATAAGGACGTGTTGAGAATCTCTTGGATCGACTCACTTCCAAAAATATGACAAAATAATTAGATATTTTCGTAGGGCTCCTTGAGAACTTTTCAGCACTAATCTCTATTTTCTATGTAATTGGACAGAAAATTCGTTAACTAGATCTAACAAACGTTCATCACATAGAAAACATGTTGAGCTTAAATAAGATGTAAATGATCTGAAAAAAAAAAACTGTGTAAGAGTGAATCCAGTTTCATCAGCTTATTTATGAGCTGCAAGAGAATACACCAAAAACCATTAAAGTGCTTTGACCACCCTGCACAATACTCTACTAAAAACCTGGATCCGTTTGACTGAGGGTTTGAAAACATGAGTCGTCTGACCAAGCGGCACATTTTTTTTTTCTCAGCCAAACTGTGTAGTTCTCTGGTCGAGATAAAACATAGTAGCCGACATTGGGATGTCAATAATGATTCATTTATTAATTGATGACTATAAGGTCTCATGGAATGAAGCGTATGTTTTATAGTTACCCGATTTTGGGGATGAACCGTATCATCTGAATGCTCCTGGAAAAGTAGTTTGAAGAACCTTTAATTCGATGAAGAATTAAACCACCAAAACGAGACTATTACTAAAACAATAATACGTGGGTAGAGTGATGGAATATTGAGAAGACGTGCTGACAGTTCATCTCCCGGATACATTTTTTGTTTTCATGCCATATCCTATCAGAATGTATATGATTATGACTCAACAGATCACGTTTATTTATCTGTTTTACAATTTATCAACTCTTTGTGCCTTAATGCTAAAACTTATTTCAGATACTAAGAATAATTCTTTTTGTTGCGATTGAATATCGCATTACATTTTTTTTATTTTTGCCAATAATTTTTCAGCTACAAATTCTTCTATTTAACCCCTATCTGGTAGAGGATTTTAATTTACAGCTTTCATATTCCTGGAAAAGATAATGAAGTGTTTTCCAGCTGCCTCTCTGGTTGTCGCCTCAGGATAGATAACTCAGTCTAACCTGCTATTTAACAGATAGCTTTGCAAGGAATTAATCGTTTGAAAAGTACATGCCTGAATTTAAATTCTACCTACCAATTCCACTTTATACGCCGAAAACCGCCACACTACCTACATATTCTCAGCAGATAGTAATAATATGAACATTCGACGAGTACAACACTAGAAAACAACACAAACTTGACAAGGCGTAATTCTCAGTTAGAATCAAAAGCATTTTTTTGTTTTTTGTTTTTACCTGTAGACATTTTATGTCCTAGATCTTGGTATTACATATTTCATTTTGCTTTGCAAGTAATCTGTGCCGGAAGTAGACACAAACGTCACATTTAATACTTGCATACAAATATTATATCCGGTTACTGTGTTGACAAACCCTTTTTGATTACCGTCATGTCACTGAAAAGTCATCACGATAATTTAGACTAATTTTCTCAAAAGCACAACTGTTTTTGAAGTTTACAATTCGAATGATTTATAAATCCATAGTTTTTTCTCTTCCTTTTTTGTTTTAAATCATACTTTTCTAATTGATCATCGCCAAAGCGTGTAATTTCTTTTGACGGGAATATAATACATCTATAGTTACTTTTATGCTAACTTACCACTTATAATTGGCATGGTTATTATTTTTGTTACTGTCGGTTCCATGATTTTGCCGTGCGATTATTGGCAATGTTATTCTGCTCTCTATTTACTTGGTAAATGGGACAGATTACATTGAATTACATGATATTTAAGTATGGGTGGAATTCTTAGTGATTTATAGTTACCAAGACAATAAAGACCAGCTGTCAGAACGAAACATAAGCAGAAAAAATTGTCAAAATTCGTGGACTGATTGGCAAATGACATCTATAACCGCGTGGTGTCGTTAATGGGGGAGATAGAAAAATGTTTATGATATAGTAATAATAGCCGTTTCCTTATAAGGAAATATTCTGAATTCATTTGTCTAGCAGTCAGTGTTACTGTAGGATAAAATTTATAAAATCTTTCTCTTGAATAATTTTTTCAGGAAAATAGGTTTTCCAATTTCTGTAGTCGTTAATGTACTTTCTGGAATTGGTATTATGTTTCCTTAGTAACCTTTGGTTTGTTGTGCGAATCTTCAACTTCTTGATTACGTCATGATATTCTCTTCGTGTTACATTTGCTATACACAATCCCTAAGTGATGTGGTTTCTGCTCTTTCTTTATAATTTTGTAGCGTCATTCTAAAAGGAGGGTCCTCGCTAAGACCTACCGACTTCATTCTCTCAAAGCCATTTTAACCATTGAACGAGTTTCGTGCCATGCATAACACTCATATGAAAGTCTCCATCTAACGAGGCTATTTAAGAACATAGTATATAAATACTATAAATTTATATAGACGTATTATACAAAATCTTCTTCTGTCTAATAGAATGATGGTTAATTTGAACACTAAAAAATTAATTTGCATAATAGGATCCGAAGGGAGCACTTGTTTTGTATTGAGATAACTAAAGACTGCATTGCAGTCAAGAAATGAAGCAAACGGTGATTTCTGTCACAATGTGTGCAATATGTAAAGAGAGTGAGAGAGACACAGACAGAACTTCCTCTCTAGAAAGATTGGCGCAATAAGATCTTGCAAGAATTAGTTTTTCATTTTCTCAGCTGAGCACACACGCATACACCTATCTATCTATCTATCTATCTATCTATCTATCTATCTATCTATCTATCTATCTATCTCAGTCTCTTCATCTTCCTATCTCCATTTGTTCCTATGTATCTATTTATCTCAGTTTATTCCTATGTAACTATTTATCTTAGTTTGTTCCTTCATATCAATCTATCTATCTATCTATCTATCTATCTATCTATCTATCTATCTATCTATCTATCTATCTCTGTTCATATCTATTTCTCAGTTTGTTCATATCTATCTATCTATCTATCTATCTATCTATCTATCTATCTATCTATCTATCTATCTCAGTCTCTTCATCTTCCCATCTCCATTTGTTCCTATGTATCTATTTATCTCAGTTTATTCCTATGTAACTATTTATCTTAGTTTGTTCCTTCATATCTATCTATCTATCTATCTATCTATCTATCTATCTATCTATCTATCTATCTATCTATGTATCTATCTATCTATCTATCTTTGTTCATATCTATTTCTCCAGTTCATTCCATATATCTATCTATCTATCTATCTATCTATCTATCTATCTATCTATATATGTGTGTGTGTGTGTGTGTGCGCGTGTGTGTGTTTAGCTGAGCCCAGTGAGCTGAGAAAATGGAAAACTAATTGCAAGATCATACTGCGCCAATCTTTCAAGTGAAGAAGGTCTGCCTGCTTTAGAAATAGTATTTGAAATCCATGCTTCCCTGTGTCTCAAACTATCGCAGCTACTGAACAGTCTCAGCTGTTTTTGTTTTTAAAGTTGGAAATTGATAAAATCTTTTCTCAACAAATATGTGTCTACAAAACACGTATGAGTAATATCGATATTTGAAGAGTTAGGAATGTGATGAACATTTCGCCTTTTTATTATACTTCTTTCTTTTTTTTTTTTTTTTGCCTGTGGGTGAAGACGACAAATTTTATGTGGGTAAGGATTCGTACAGTTATGAAACTACTGCAAATGAGTTCGTTAGTAATTCAAGATAGCTGATAAGCAAGCGGCCCAAGTCCAAGTTGATTTATTGCTTATCATTAAGATTTTTCAGCCAAGGATAATGATTGATCTTTATGTTTAAAGCTTGTTTATGTGTTGTGTATATGCACACACACACACACACACACACACACACACACACACACACACACACACACACACCTCAATAAGCTTATAAATATATTTATATATATATGTATATTGTATAAGGAATCTGGTATAAGGAATCTAGTGGAAATAGAAAACCTATTTTCTTCCAAGATTTACTTCGTTGTTGAATGTTTGTAATGAAATCTGTAGTCATTATGAAAATTCGATGAAGCTGCCACTAGGTGTTATATAAATGAAATGGTAAACACACATTTTATGTACCTGCCTTCATGACTTAACTAAAAACATAAAGACTTTTTTTTAAATCATTTCACTCCAAGCAAAGCGTTAGTACTACTAATACATTAGAGGCTACTGGGATTGGAAGAGAATGAGAATACTTTACTGAGTCGAAGTGTAGAAAGGACAATAAATTCAGCGGTTTCAAGAAGACAGAAGATGACGATTGACATTGCATTTAAATGTTTGAAGATTGTAAGTGGCAAGAAAGCAAGGAATAGGAAGAGAGTTAAAGAGGCGAGGAGATCGAGAAAAGAAACTGATAGAATAGAATTTACGGTTACATGAAGCTTTGAAATCAAAAGGATTATTGCTTTGTATTAATATACTCTTTAATTTAAGGCTTTTTTGGTTGGGACCAGCATCAAATAAAAATATCTTGTTATGGTCCGGTTCCTTGTACCACGGTGATAGTCCAAGGTAGAACCAATAAAGAAGAACTGGAACACAGGTATGGAATAACACATATATTACAAACAGGAATATATACAGAGAAGTAGAAGTGTTAGTATGAACAATCAGGTTTAGTAGAGAGAACAATGTAGTCTCGAGCAGTAACACTATTCCCATGTCTTGCAGTAATTTTCTGAACGCGACTCTGTTTCGGACTGCCTCTGACTCGACTCTTGACTCGACTCTTGACTCGACTCTTGACTCGACTTGAACTATTGACCCCTTGCCTACTCCGGGGACGCAGTATTTATTAAGTATAGAATAGTCCATTATTATTATTATGGGTAAGATCCTCATAACATTTGCCTAAGAAATTCGAAAAATATTTCTGGATTTATCTTGAAAAAATCGACCAATTTTAAAAATTTTACTGCCTACAATTTTGCCTGCCTAGTGTTGTCTTCTGAGTTTCTTCTTCATGCAGGATCCAACCTATAGTATTATCAACAGTTAGTCACTAAAATTCTTTTTAAGACATCAGTTTTCATGTATTTCTTCGCCCAACTTACACGCTTCTCTTTGTGATTGTTGCTTAAAGGTGGTAGTTTGGTCGATTTATATCTTTATCCAATATTCTTAATATCTTGCATCTTTTTTTTTACATTCGCAACAAAAGCCTTCTTAAATATTTTCTTAACAGTCAACTCAATTTTCTTGTGAATTACCTCTTTTTGCGACATTATTAAAGTTGTTTTTTTTTTCTGTTCTCGCCAAAGTTTTCAATCTCTTTTTTGTAATAACAAAAATATTTCCCACTATTTAACGTTGTGTTTTCATCATACAGTAATTTAAAAATATCTTGTTTCTCTTTTGAGTTATCTTAGTTGCGATCTATAACAACATGCATATATCTGAAATTAAAACTGAAACATAAGTAAAAAAAGATTTCGTGTGACGCAGTTCTTTATTTCAGGACTTCATTGAACTAAAGCGATGTTACACGATAATTTTTAACCGCTGTCATTAATCCTAACCCTAACCCTAACCCTAACCCATATTTGATCTCTATTTGATCCCTATTCATCCCGACGAGTGGACCGAACGATTAGAAAAAAAAATTGCCTCCCAAACTCTGGAGTTGGGGTTCTGAATATGATATCAGCCAATAAATCCTATATTTTATATTGATATATATATATATATATATATATATATATATATATATATATATATATATATATATATATATAAATCCTTTTCATGAATATCCGTTTCCGAAGGAATAGTTAATCCTATTGTTGACGTCATCTCAATCATATGTGTACATCTTGAACTGCCACAGCCAATCTGTCGTTTAAACTTCATATATACTGAACAGAAGTTAGTTACAGATTCAAGGAGAGGGAGCACATAATCTGGTGTGTTGAGTAGTTGATCGGTCACAATGAAATGCATTAATAACTTTCAAATAGTTTTGTCTATATGGTTTTCCGTAACTGATTATAGTGTGATTCAAATCCAGATCTCATGGTAAGAATGTTAATGTTCTAACTGATCGGGCATATTTACAATCATCTATTAAAATACAAACCTCACTTTAATACACTAAATATCTAATAAATATATGTCTAGTAAAATATATATCTAATAAAAAATATGTCTAATAAAATAATAGCTAATAAAATACATATGCAATAAAAACAGATATTAATAACTAAAGTACATATTTAATCACTTTTATTGTGGAAAAAATTGACTTGAATAATAAAACCTAAGATATCGTATATTCATAAAATTCAAGACGTGGAAGACTAAGACGTCAAGACTAAGCACTTCAAATAACTCGGTATATGAATAAGTTATAATAAATATAGTAAAGAATATCAGGAAACTGAACATAGATTAGGCTGTCATAGGCATAGCTCCTGCAACACTACAAATAGTTACAAAGTCAAAACATTAACCTGAGAACACTGGTAATATTCTTAATTAACTTCGTTAGATCGAAACTTTCACATGGATGTCATACATGGCATCAAACCCATTCAGAAATACTGTATAGAACTGCCTTCTGAGATCAAAAGTTAAAACTGACATTGAGCGATTGAAGCCTGTACGAAGATTATACCTCTTTGAACCTTGTGGACTGGAGCTACAGAATCAAAAACAAAGAAATGCACCAAATAATATAAACCACACCACTTGAAGACTTTCAAAAACAACAATAGCTAAAATGGATATAACATGTAAATGAAAGAGAAAATAATTACATACAAGTTTGACATTCTACACTACTTTAACTAAAAGTTTTGGAAAGAAATCGCTATCAATAATGGAAAGAGCGATAACAGTGATTGAAACTTATTTTCATGATACATTGAATAGTAGACAGTTTGGTTATATACCAATCTCAAACAACAAAAACTATACTTCTCCTTTAGCATTGTGCAAGAATAGCATGCTTGTTTAAGACGGATGGCGAGAAAGTTTCTCGCAGCTAATCACGACTGAGTGCCGTGTTAATATAGTTAATATAGCCTTACACCGAACTTAATTCAATATTAATAAACATATAACTAATGCATACAAATATGTACATTCATTGCTGAAAAGTTTCTAGTATGAATTGCTCAACGTCTTTACGTCTTTAATAACATAAGAAAATAATGCTGAATTTATGCAGTCGTACGAAATAATATGCTGTATATGATCCTAATCTTTGATAACAACAATACAAAAGTTACCTGTACATGAAATTCGTAACCACCTACCCGGGATTGTCGTAAAAAGCGATTTTGGTCATGAGACACATTGCTAGATGGGAATGTAGGAATAAGATCCCAGAATTCCCAATTGGATAGTATTGAAAACCATTGAGATTGTAAAATCAAAACATGCAAGACGCCAATGATTAATTACATGATTGTCTTGTAATCCATTCTTGAGAAAATGTAATCAATCATATGGAGTAAAATATACAATTCCATGACACGCTTGTACTCCATCTTGAGAAATGTCATCAATCGTATGGAGTAAAAAGTACAATTGCATGACACTCTTGTACACCTTGGGAAAAAGTCATCAATCGTATGAAGTAAAAAGTATAATTACATGACACTCTTGTACTCCTTCTTGGGTAAATGTCATCTATCGTATGGATTAAAAAGTATAATTACATAACACTCTTGTACTCCGTCTTGTGAAATATCGTCAATCTTATGAAGTAAAAAGTACACTTGAATGACACTCTTGTACTTCTTTTTGGGAAAATGTCATCAATCGAATGGAATTAAAAATACAATTACATGACATTCTTGTACTCCTTCTTGTGCAAATATAATCAATCGTATGGATTAAAAAGTACAATTACATGACACACTGGTACTCCGTCTTGAGAAAATGCCATCAATCGTATGGAATATTTTTGAATAAAAATCTTTTTGATTGGGTCCCTCTCTCATAAAAACAAATTATTATTCAAATCAAATCAAGTCATTAATTATAACGGAATTACAGTTATCTGAGGTTGGCGATTCTGCCAAGGTTACGATGTAACTTTTTCATTTCCTGTATCAAACTTGAAAGGCCTATGTTAATGGTTTCAATTGTCGATGTGTCTGTGTGTGTAAACGACACATTCCTTTGATAAGACCATTATTAATCTGAAGAAGTTCCCGTTAGTGACGAAGACTTTTACTCATGAGTTTTTTTTTCCATTTTGTCAGCTGACACATATACACATACATATGCAGATAATCTGTGTGGACATGACACGTA